TCTTGCAACAGTCAGGCACCCTTTTGGATATCTTCTCTGCAAGTGCCGCTGCATGCGGCTGGCTACGACCCTACGACCAACCCTGCGCATCTCAAGGGAACCAAGCAGGACACTCGGGGCCAGCGGCTTGCGGAAAGCTTGGATCGGCCATCTGAAGCACACCAAACCTAGCTTCAACGCTAGCCTGTAGAGTGAAACCAGCCTCTCTTCCAAAGTTCCCTAATTTTGAACCCCCATGACTAAGCCCCTGATTGATCGATAGCGGCTCTACCAAAAAATGTAGGGGATCCTTTGCTTGAGTCTACTCCAGCTTGATCAATCTGGGGTTCCCGGTCCGTCACATTCGTCCCGCTCCCGCGAGACGCGCGGGACGCACTCCTCACGCCACTCCGCCACGTCGCACTCACGCCCCGAGATCTTCCCTCCGGAGATGGACACCTCGAGCGCCCCAAAAAGCCCCTCGACGCAGATCGCGAGCGCGGCCGAAATTACCAAAAGGTAGGCGCCCGGACGGAACCAACGCAATCTCGTGAAATCTGAAAAAAGACCAAGAAAGCTCCCTTGAAGGTAAACACAAAGGCTTGAAGTCAGTGACCTCCCAAAGCCGTGCTTGCGAGCGCTTTTTTTGCAGAACCAACAGGTTCCCTTCTGTTCCTTTCTGGCCACTGAACATCTGGAGATGAACTGCCGCGACGGAATGCCCCAAGAAGGCACGATGCTCAGGACTTGTTTCCCAAACGCTTTTGGGGGAGAAATGGGAGACTTGTGACTGTGAAGCACTGCGAAGGTGTACATGTTGCAAACAAGTGCAGAAACTGCCACGCTTTTGTGGCCCCCTCTTTGAGCATGTTGATTTTCCCCGTTATGATCCTATGACCCTTTCTTGATCTGCTTTGGAAGACCGCACATGCGGGCCGGGGCTCCGAACTGTCACATTGTGAAACTTGCAATTCGATAGCAAGCGCTGTGATTCACTTGCCTTCCCGTCTTGAACCAGTCGTACCCCTGCTACTCCTTCTTGCACAGCTTTCCAAAGCTCATGGTCAGCTCGGACTTCGGGACTGAATTCAATTGCGCTTTGGGGGCCCAGCTTGAGGAGTAAAACCGAGTTCCTTCTACGTCCCCTTCAAGCATCACATCAAGGTATTTCGCATCTTCACGCAAAAAAGAAGAAGAAAGTCAACCACACACCTGCACACAAAACACCGCGGGCCCATGCAAGTTGCTCTGAGCGTCGTGCCCGGGCGTTGCAGTCCTCCAGCACCAGCCTGGGCATGGCAAGCTCTTGACTTGAAAGGGGTCGGCACGCAGAACGCGTTTCGCGCTTTGGTCGAGCCAAAGTGGTGCAGTCGTTTCTTGAGGGTATCCTTTTGGGTGGTGTTGAAGGGGAACCAAACAAAAAGCAACCAATGTTTCTTGAGGGTAACCTTGTGGGTGAAGGGGAACTAAAAAAAGAAAGCACATGTTGGGAAACTTCCCATATTTTGAGTCACACCAGCGGGCAGCCACCCGCAGGTGCCTTGGAATTGAGACAGCTCCAAGCAAGGCGCTGCAACGAAAAAAAATCGCTTTCCCTCAGCGGCCGCAGCAAGGGAAACCAAGGGAAAGCAACGGAAACCAAGGGAAAGGAAACCCACAAAGAGGTAAAGAGGCCGGCTGTTCGTCAACAATGTCTAACCTAATGCAAGGGATACAGGGCGCTGGTAACACTTCCAGCATCATCTGCAACAGCCGCTCTCAACTTGAAAACTGCCAGAATCTGACCTGAAAACCATACGCCAAAACACCTTTTCGTCGGGACCCCCCCCTCCCCTCCCTTCCCTCCGGCACACTTTACGCAACTCCAGCGACAAAGTCGAATCAAAACCCAGCACAGGAGAGCGCAAATCGTGTAAAAACCGCTACAAGGCCGGGTGGCGACCTGTCCCCCTGCAATTACCAAGGCTCCCAGCCAGAACCTGACCTATACCCCGCCATAGGAAGATGTCGCAAATACACCGCGCTTAAGCCAGCGGTCCGATTTTGTGCAATCCAAACTCTGCGACCGGGCTCTCCAGGAATGAGAGACTGCGTGCCAAGGCACTCTGGACATGAACCGTCCCACACTTTTAGAGGAATCTCCTCAGGGGAACCGGTTCCATGGCAAATAAACTTGCTGGTGCTCAGCAGGGAATGAGAGAATGACCCCTACAAACCATCCCTAGTGGTTTCCTTTGAGGGGACCCCTGATTTCATTCCCTCATTCCCTACTTATCGCACCAGCAAGAAATCTCATCCTGAAAGGCACCGGTACCCAGGCAAATACTTGATCCCAGGAACCGGTTTCAAGGGAAAACCCAAGAATCTCTTGAGGGGAACCGGTTTTTGCGGCCAAAAACACTCATCTTGATCCTTCCCACTGCCCTTCGGGCCCAGCTTCTTCCTGTTTTCTCTGCTTGCCGAGGCGCAGCAAGTGCTCCTCCGCCTGCACGGACAGCTCGCAGTCCGCAAAGTGCAGGCTCTGGGCGGGAGAGCGACCCGTTCGCCCGGGGGGAGAGCGCCGGAGCGAAGTTGGAAGGCCAGAAACCAGCGGAGAAAGGAGAGCTTGGGCATGTTTGGACCACGTTGCCGGCGACAAGGAGTTCAAGTTTTCGGTCAGTCCAGTAAAGCGAACCCGGGGGAAGTAAGAATGGATGCGGAATCTACAGCAAATGCGGAAAGGAATCCTGCCAAACTGGAGCCCTATACTTGGGGAAGCGTATGTCCCCGAGACCATGTCGAAATGTGTGCTGCATGACGCCAATTTGTTTTATGGCAGAGAGCTATCCGCAAACCAGAGGATGATATTCCAAACCCTCATTTCATAATCAGACAAATCAATTTGGAATCTATGCACAAGTTTTAACTTCCCTGCCCAAAAAATACTTTGCTGCCTTGCTTCCTCGTCCTATTCTTGGGCGCTTTGGAGCATGGAACAAGGGGGCGATCTTCCAAAAATAGGCAAGGTTTGAAAAGAAGCAAGGAGCAAAATCCAGACCAAGGAAAAGGAAGGCTCTTTGCCCATGACACAGTTCACGTGCAAACGCTATACCAGCACCGCCGCTTTGCCAAATCACTTCCCCTTGGGCGCCGTGCAATGGCAGCACCGCCCTGCGGAATCAGTGCTGATGAGCGCACACCCACTGATGACGCAACATCTCACAACGACTGAAGGGTTTCCACGAATTCTGTCGAGGTCCTTGAGGCCAATGAAATCTCGGTGCGCCGGTGTCTTGCCTCCACTTTGACCGGCCAACAGATCGACTGCTTGCGGAGGTTCAGAGTTCAAGCAAAACTATTGAACATCGAACATCAATTGGCAATCAGGACATCTACATCGTCGGCTCTACCTCATCAAGGAATATCGTGAGTTCCTCACAAGACAGATTTGCGCGATCGATTGTCTTGTGTTGGCAGTTCGCTTCACTGCCCCGGCCTCCAACACATCGCAAAGCTTCTTGATTGCGGAGTCGGGCAAAACCTGAGCAAGTTCAGTTTTTAAAGCCACGAGATGATTGAATTATGTATGGTATGGTATGGTATGGTATGGTATGGTATGGTATGGTATGGTATGATATGGTATGGTATGGTAATGGGAGATGGTAATCGTAATGGTAATGGCAATGGTAATGGCAATGATAATGGCAATGGGAACGGCAATGGCAATGGTAATGGTATGGTAGGGTATGATATGGTATGGATGGCACGGCATGGCATGGGATGCATGCATGCATGTATACATGTATGTACACACACACACACACACGCATACATAGCTGCATTAATGATATGCGGGGACATGCTCTCTCGTTGGCCAGCTGTCCCCGTGGAATTCGTTTGAAAACAAAGCTAAGTGGCTGGGGGGGGGGGGGGGGGACTTTTTGGATTTTTTGCAGACGGGAAGGTAGAACCCAGTTGCCTTCAAAGGGCGTTCGCATTGGGTCGAACCTTAGCTCCTGAGTCCGACCTGAAACCTTTCTTGCGGTAAATTGCTTGCTTTTCGCATTTGCAGGGGCGAAAAGAGAACAAGCCTGTTACTCAATTCAACATCAGGTCCATTGTACACTCACGGGCAGTTTTTTGGGGGACTGGATACTTCAGGTTGGCTAGTTGCCCGAAACATCCTGGGACTTCAAATGGGGCGAGTCAAACTCATCTTTCGAGTTCCAAGTTCGTCGAGCCAAGAGTTTATTAAGACTGCTTCAACACCAGGATCATCCAGGCAGAAAGCGTGCGTCGTGTTCGATGATGTTGACCCCCTTTTTTATCAGCCCAGCTTTTTTTCCCAGGGGGGTGTTCCCTCCAAAAGTGAACAATCCCCACTACCAGGGACACCCCCATATCAATAAACAGGGGCTTATTGATAGGGGGCGTTCATTACCCAGCTGAGGCTCCGCACGCAGCGCCGGAAGACCAGGCGCCGGGGCAAGGCGACGAGGCCCTGCGGCTCGATTTCGGTTTTTTCCTCTTTGGCAGCGGGGAAGCCGTCATTTTCCTGTTGCAAAAAAAGTCGACTCAAAGCCCGTGCTATGAATATGTATGCATAAAAATGTGCAACTAAAGGACGGATGAGGGTGTTTATCGGTTTTTTTGGTAGCGCTCAGGGGGCTGAGCTCTCGCCGCCCCCACCTTTCTTTGCGCATGGCCTCTTAACCTTCCGCCCAGGCGTTGATTGTATCTCACAGCAGCCCTTGAAGTTATCATGAAACAATCAGAGTCAAGGCCACTTCAACCACAGCCACCACTCAGCCTCCGGCTTGGCAAATAGGACACGTCTTAGGAACAAGTTCACAGAGACGCAAGACATGTTCGAGTTCGCCCGCCACTCGCGTGCATCGGGAAACTTGGATATGGCTTTGGACGTCACAAGGCCTCGGAGAGGATCAGCCTCCAACACGTCGTTCCCTTTGATTCCCTCAGTCCAAAAATCCTCAAAAGACTCGTCCAAGGCTTTTACTGGCAACGGGCCATTTCTGAATTCCTCAGTCTCCTTGGACCCTCCAAAGACTCTTCCACGGCTCCTGGCAAGAGGAAAAGCCGCTGCTGTTGTACCCGGCCGCACGGGGGTTCTTGCTGTTTCAACGCTTTTGAGACTGTCCTTTAGCTTCAGGTGGGTGTGCCCCCCCCCCCCCCCCCGGAGAAAAAAAAGGCCTCCAACGCTTTGGCTTTCTTTTAAAAAGCCATGCCCCAGGCGCATCCACCAAAAAGAAGAAACCCCGCGGCGCCGGCGCCGGCGCCGCTCCCATGGGACCTGAGCCGCTCGCGCGCCTCGAGGAAGGGCTTGGTCAGCTCCGGCAGCAGCTCCTGGAGCTCCGAGAAAGACAGAAAGACGACAGAAAGGAAGAAGAGCAAAGCAAAGTTTACAGGGATAGGTTTACGAAAGGAAAACGACAGAAACAAGAAGCAACCACAAACATTCTGTAGGTTTCATCGATTTATGTTGAGCAGGGATCCGGATGCATGAAAAACACCTAAAACACCTGAACATTGCCTAACGTAAATGGTGTTGTTTCCCTTTATTTTGGTGTTGAAAAAGCAACATGTGTCAAATGGTTGCAAAGTGTATCTTTTTAAGGAGCCCTGGTTTCGCTTGTGGGTTTAATGGAAACCAGCCACTAAACTAAAACCCACTGAACAGCTACTTGAAAGACGACGGAAAGAAAGAGTAAAGCAAAATGTGGCTTGAACTAACCACTGAACTAAACCAACCGCTGAACTAGAAAACCAACCACTAAACTGAAACCCACTGAACGGCTACCTGGGTGTTCGGCCAACTCCGCCGACCACAGTTTCGTTTGGTTCCCAGCCTGAGACCCCTACCTTGTCAGCGCTGAGGGCCGCCGCCATGATTGTGCCAAGGCAAGTGCCACGATTCGTGTGTGAGCCATGTGCTCGAATGCGTTTTATGTTGGCGTGTTCACCAAACTCGAAGCCGGAGCAAAGAGAGAGAGAGAGAGAGAGAGAGAGAGAGAGAGACAGAGACACAGAGACACAGAGACACAGAGAGACAGAGAGACAGAGAGACAGAGAGACAGAGAGACAGAGAGACAGAGAGACAGAGAGACAGAGAGACAGAGAGACAGAGAGACAGAGAGACAGAGAGACAGAGAGACAGAGAGACAGAGAGACAGAGAGACAGAGAGACAGAGAGACAGAGAGACAGAGAGACAGAGAGACAGAGAGACAGAGAGACAGAGAGACAGAGAGACAGAGAGACAGAGAGACAGAGAGACAGAGAGACAGAGAGAGCGAGAGAGCGAGAGAGCGAGAGAGGCAGGGAGGGAGGCAGGCAGGGAGGCAGGGAGGGAGGGAGGGGAGGGAGGGAGGGAGGGAGGGAGAGAGACACAGAGAGTCCCAGCCATCCCCTCAGGTTAGGATTTATTTGGTTGCCGAATTTCACCCACAAGTTAGTCCCTTTGGTCGTTCCGGGGATCTGAAATATGGGAAACCCGACTGTTCTAAACTAAAACCCACTAAAAAGCTTTGTTGCTCGGGTGTTCGGCCAACTTAGCAAGTAATAACAAAAGAAAGACAGAACGAAACAACGAACAAAACAACGAACAACACATTACTGGAGAGACGGCAGCGTGCACACGGCATCCTAAACCCTAAGCTTTTCTGTAGCTGTAAGGATGTCACTTCCTATTTCGGTGTTGGTTTCACAACAATGTTGTTTGAGGAAATTACAGGTTGTTGTTTTTTCTCAC